GCCTATACTGCTAAGTAACTCTGGAGACAAGAAGTCAGTATTTCTTATCATTTCCATAAAGTTAGGGATTCTTTACCTGTATTCTTAATTTTGTTTTTGAACACACAATGTGTGTCAGCATTCTGATACATATTACCAGATGTATTTAAAAATTATCAATAATAATAAGTTATAATAGCATCCAAATAACAGAAAAACAATGGTTGGTTATTTTGGTAACACCAAAATGATAGAATATATAAGCCCTGGTTCACTGCTAATCAGAATACCTCAACCATGTTTGATTAAAAGATATATTGTACCACACTAATTACTGATGGTAACTTTTCAGTGAAAATTCTTCTGGCAAGTGAGAGGTCAGCTTTTACATATCTCAAGTGCTCATTCCATCTTCCAAATGTGAAAATAAATCCTAATCAAAATTTAAAGCCATATTTAAAAAAAGAAAAAAAATCCTCAGCTAATAAAGAAAGGTCAGGACTATAAAGAAAAGTAACTGCTCATAGAAGTTCTAACTAGCTGCCATTTAAACATAGTTAAATAGAATAAAATTAAGGTTTTCCTTTGATCACTCATCTGTTACATATTTGAACACTTTATGTGGTATATAAGGCCTAGTATTAAACATTTTCATTGCATTTTTCCTATATATCTTTACATATTTTCCCTATTAACATACTGTTTTGACTCACTGTATATTGAAAAGAAAATAATTTGGTTCTTCTCATGAAAACTTTTCATATTTTAATCATTTATCTTTTTAAAAAAAGTTTTTTGGTGGTACTGGAGCTTGAACAAAAGCCACAACCCCAGTCCTCCTTTGCATTTTTAGTAATTGTATAATAGGATATTGTGTTTTTGCCCAGGGCCTGACTTAGCTGCAATCCTGCCTGGCTTATTTGTTGAGATGGGGTGGGGTCTCACTAAGTTTTTGCTGGGGCTGGCCTCTAAACTGTATCATCCCATCTCTACCTCCTGAGTAGCTGAGAATATAGGCATTAGCCACCTATCATGCCTAGCCTAATCATTTATATGTTAAATATAAACCTCCAGCTTATTAAACAGAGATACATTTGTGAGAGATGCACGTTAATAAAATTGTCTCAGAGATTATAACAAAGCATAACAACTGCTTCAGTAGTGTTATGAATAGGCTCTGGGAACCCAAGAAAACATGCTTAATACAGTGGGAATGAAAGCTTTGTGGAAGAAATCGCTTTTGAGATGAGTCTTTAAGAAAACTTTTTCCAGTGGGCAAGTTTAATAGATTAGCAAAGGCAGTCACACAGAAGCATACAAACAATTTTCTAGGGAAAATAGAAAAGTATGTTCCATGTAGCCCAAACCACAAAGGGCATTTTATGCCAACCTAGAGAGATGAGCTTAATCCTTTAAGAAGAAGGGATACATGAAGTATTTTAACCATAGAAATAGCAGATTACTGTGTTTCCATACCTTTAGGTGAAGTGTCTTTCTCTAGTTGAGTAGGTATTAGAAGACAACAATTAGTCACTTCTGCAAATAGGCTGGACTCAATGTTTTTCATGTTAGGGTTATATGGCCAAGAAAGGGATCCTAAACAGAAATAATTCCTCTGTGGGATAAATAAATCAAACTTCCCTACCCCAAATTGATTCTTTGGGCTGGAGTTTGCAATCTTTGTTTTGTTTTTGATAGTAACACACTGTTGTTGTTCTCCATAAAAGCTGACATAAAGCTTCAATCAATCACAATGTGTGAGTTAAGCGAGACAAATATTGAATGTTTTTGCTCATATGTGTAATTTAGACCTAAAAAAATACTACTATGACATGATTGTAAAAGGAAGGCTGTTAGGGGTGGAAACCAGTGGGAGGGAAGAGGGAGAAAGGAGACAGTGATGGGGTGATATGATCAAAGTACTTTATGTGTGTGTGTGTGTGTGTGTGTGTGTGTGTGTGTGTTATATGAAAATAGCATAACGAACCCATTAAAACTGGTAAGACAGAGGGGAAGAGGGACAGGGGTTAAGAAAGAATAATGCAGACAGTGTGAATTTGTTCAATGTACATTACATACATATATACAAATATAGCAATGAATTCCCTTTGTATCATTAATTTAGGCTAATAAAATTTTTAAAAAAGAAAATATGGACTAAGGAACAGTCCTGGGGGAAGGTATTTTATATTTAGAGAATAAGGGGAGCCAGGTTAGTCACCAACACGTATGTAAGGGCTAACATATTAAACCTAAAAGAGCAGATAGATTGTTTCATTTGGAAATAGAGCTATGAAAGGGAAGATGTGAAATCATACTGGGACATCATGGCCATAAGATTAAGGAGAATTCACTGCATCCTAGTTCATGGATACCTATGATAAACATATTTATGTGTGTGTAAATATTAAGCATATATGAATATATAAGCACACATATATTTAATTTTAAAGGTGTTTCCCATTGGTACATATGTGAGTGCCCTAAATTGACTATGATAATACATACAAACAGTAATTTTTTCCCCTGCCAGCATCTAGTCTTTATTTTTTTCAAAGGGCCTTGCAAGCAACTAACTATACTCTAAGATTTGACTTTTGGTGGTAAGTAACTCATTAAACATGAAGTACAAACTGTGTGTTGGAATCATACAGGGTACAGGAATCTCTGAATATAAAAATGCAGACACTAGTGTATATTCATAGAATGTAGAAGTGAGAATTCACACAAGAAAATTAATTTAAATTAAGTGGTAGTTATTCTTTATAAAAAAGCATTTGCATGCATATGTGTGTAAGTATGAATGTATTTGACTAAATTAAAATGAAATGAAAAATAAAATCTTGTACTAAGAATCTGTTTCTGCTTCTCATTTGTATTTTTTTTACCTTTGAGTCACTTAGACCCAAAATTTTTCTAAAATTTACTCTTAAAATTTGATAACATATAATTTCAGAAAAATAACATGGATAGTTTATGTACCCCATGAGAAGATGGAACTAAAATTCAGTGTTTCTCACGCTAAGGTAGCTAAATGATTTTGCATATGTTAACTCCTGTGCTGGAATAATTTTAAGAAAGTAAGTGTTAAAATTCCAACTCCTTGAAGAAGCATCATTTAAGAAGCACACGTATGCTATTCCATAATGAGAACCATTTTTGAAAATTTAACTAATCATTTTCACAAGATACATTTTTGACAAATGGTGCTACTTTTACAGCATTTCATTTCTTTTTACAGTTCTTCAACCAAATAAAACATACTGCTTTAAAAATAGGTTAATAATCACTTAATTTTTTCCTTTAAAAATAAAAGCAATATACAAACTGTCATAAACCTTTATGTTAGGCTTTAAAAACTTTCCTTCTTTCCTCTTTTATCAAAACCCATGAAAACAACAGCAACAGAAAGGTAATCATCCAAACTTAAAGACACCTTGTCTATTATTGCAAACTTCAGTTTCCAATATCATTTTGTACAATTAAAGATGTAGGAGAATCAATTTTCATTAGCCAAGATTTATATTTTACCTGGAATCCTAGGGTCTTTACATGAATATATTTTTATGCCAACAGAAAAACAGTGGTTAAAAAATTATTCCAGCATGTTTTCAAAGATTATCACCTGCCAAGAAAGGTGTTAGCAAGATCTTTATGGAAGGATTTGTAAAAAGCTTGAGTCATGACTGAGCATAAGGAATTTACTGACCCTTGAACTTTAAGAGACTCAAGTAGAATATCTAATGTCAAAAGCTGCCCCAAAGAGTCAGCTGCAGGATATTGTAAAGAGTGTTTATATCTCAGTGTACGCAGAAGGAAAAAAAACCCTAATAATTCTGTGAACAACCCCAGGGCAATTGCGTTTTGACTCACTGCCACAATAAGCAGATCACCACTGGAAAGAAAATATATTCTGGAACAACACAGGCTTGCACTATCACAAGACATCAGTGCAAAACAGGAGAGGCGATAGGATTAAAAATAGAAGTATGGAAAGGGGAAGAGAGAAAACAATTATATCCACTGCTTGCAATTTGCAAACTCTAGACTTTTATAAATCCAATGTGCATTTATTCAGAACCCCCATGAAAACAATTCTGACTACCTTTGGTATATTAATTCTCTAAGTCATTGTGTATTTTCCAAAACACTAACTGAAAAGCCAAAATAATTAATGGCAGGCTGTGTATATTCCCATAATACAAATTACTTCAAGAACCAACTAATTTCCCTGTTCATGTAATGATGACATGACTGAATTGCAAAGTAAGCCTCCATACTAAAAGATGCCATTTGAGGATAAAAATGAGGTAGACCTGGTTTAGTTTAGACTTACCATTTTCTAGATTGATAACTGATTTATCCCCAGGAATTGAAATACATTTAGCAGGCAACAGCTTTGTAACTCACATTTACATTTATAGTATAAATCATTTTGACTATTTGATAACACAGAAAATCTTCCATCTTAACGAGTTTCTACTTTACCTCAAATTGAAAACCATACAAAACATGGTACTTAAGTCTCCTATATTATAATTTACTTGTGCATTGCACATATAACAAAATTAAATAACAAGAATTTTCTTAAGCTGTGCATATAAAATATAGCACATTTTATCTTAGTCCAGAGGATTTAGTTTGCAAAGTTTCACAAAACGTCTTTTAATTCTACTCTCTCTATGATACGTAAGGGAAGTAACTGTGCCGTGTTCACCATATTATAGCCATAAATAACATCAGGAAACACATCTCATAAACTTTCAAGGATGATACTGTAAGAGATTTAAAAATCCCAGTGGACAATTAAGTGTTCATTATTATTTTTTCTGAATTCCTAGAGTACTCTAATGCCATGCTATTTCCACATTTGAAAACAGATTAAGTTAACATGCACAATATTCATTGCCTGCATCCTCTTCAATACCCTAACACTTTTCAGTTTTCCTTTATTTCTCTTTATTAAAAGTTTGATGACATATTAACTTCCGAAACTGTGAATCCATTTAAAGCACACTTACTTGAAAAGTATAAAACCGGGTCCCATTAGGAGGATGCACTTTAGGGGAGCCAGAAACGGTGTTCATATCCGAGAAAATCATTTCTGATCACAGAGACAATATAATCCACAAGGAGCTACAGATGCAGAGCAGAGAGCTTAGCAGAGAGATAAATCCGTGCATGCATGGAGGGAGACTAGAGGGTAAAATGAAATCTGCCCCATCCTTCTTAGATGCACAGTGATAGCATTTTGAATCTGTCTTCTACATTTGAAACCTAAGCTGAAAAGGGCATCAGCCACACCAACCCTTGTGCAGCTAGTTCCTTAGAATACACAATGTTTAAAAAAAATTAAAAATCACAGAAGGCAAAAAGCAAGAAGCAACAATAAATGGAGCTCGTGCAGAATCTGGCAGTGCTGTGGACCTGCCCATCTGTTCTCTGTGATAATCACCTCCCTCCACCACAGTCTAGCAGAGTGATTATGCTAAATATCCTGGTTAACCAATAACATACAGTTTCATTTCAGGGAAGCATGAGCAGTGTAATTCAGAGGACCTCTTCTGACTAACCTGAAGCATGTTTCACATACTGCTTAAAGCAGCATTTAGTAAAAACATTATTGTTTTATCACTGTTATTTCTGTGTGTTGCTCAGTCTCTTTGTCACTCTCAGTCTTTTAAATAAGATGCTGAGTTTTTATAAAGCCTTTTTGTGTAAAGAGGTCTTTCATAATTTATAGATCAAAGTATATCATAGATAGCTAAGACATTGAGAGGCAATGTGTACAATTCAATAAAGCTCTATAATGCTAGACTATTGATAAATAAAATACAATAAAGATTCTACTTTTCTGAACTCCCACAGAATATCATGACTGAAATACGACAATTATTTTCTCAATTCCCCTATTTTAGCTCAAAAATTAAGTCTGACTACCACTGCTTTAAAAATAGCATAAATTGATCCTAATTAATCTTATTTCATATATTTACACAAATCAATTAATAAAATATCATTTATATGCATTAGGATTTTATATTTAATATCCACAAGTACTTATTACAAATATTAAAAGTATTTTCATGTTAATTTTTCTGCCTTTAGGAAATTACACATTCTGTATAAGGGATCATATTCAGATGACTCGACAACTTCTGGAGGTAAAAATAAATGTTCTATTTACACATGGTTCAAAGGTGAAGACTTCAGGAAGACAGAAAACAGAATATGCCAAAGTGTGTCATTGTATCTAAGTTGACATAATTACTCATAACCAGGAACTACCTCCTTTGAACCTGGAGGCCCTAAAATTATGTTGAAGACTCTTAAAACTTAAATTGTTACTCATTTGTACCTTACGCTTTCTAACTATACTTCAGAATTACAATATCAAATAGGAGTAAATAAAAATGATTCTCAACTCTTTAGATGGGATTTTTATATTTGAGTAAATTTTGTTTGCAGGTCATTATTTGATGAGTAAATTGCTAAGTCAGAAAATATTTTTAAATAAAATTTTAACTTGAAGATAAATTTCTATTTATGAAGGCAGTTCATATACCCCTCATACAGTTTCCTTAATTGTTAACATCCTGTTACTATGATACATTTGTCAAAGTGAAGAAACTAAAATAGCACATTATTAACTAAACCCCAGACTTATTTGGATTTCACTAGTTTTTTCATGCATGTGATCTTTCTGTTCTTTGTTCTAACCCAGTGTGCAGCGTTCACTTGGTTGTCCTGTCTCTAGCTTCCTCTAGCTCTGACAGTTACTCAGCTTTTCCTTATTCTTGTCACCTATACAGTCTTCAGATCCATGTAGAATCTCTCATGATCTTACTATTGTAGCAAATGTGTTTTGTCTGATGTTTCTTTAATAGTTAAACTAGGGCTATGGGTGTTGGAGAAGAATGCCACAGAGGTGAATTGCCTTTCTTATCTCATATATTAGTGGTCTATGATGCCCACATAGTATCACTAGTGATTCAACATTCATCTTTTGGATAAGGTAGTATTTATATGTTTTACCTTCTGGACAGCTGCTATTTTTCCCTTCCCATATTCTGTTCTTTGGAATTAGTTGCTAAGTCTAACAGGGTGATATCAAGGAGTGAAATTAAGCTCTACCTCTTGGAGAAAACAGTATCTCTCTATATTAAATAGAATACTGTAAAAAAGTTTGCTTTTCTTTGATATCTTTATTTTTCAATCTTTCAAATCATTTATTCAAATCAATATAGACTTCATTATTTATTTTATTCGTTGGGTCATAGTTTCATATTATGCAATTTATTTTGCTGTTATATTATGCCAACTTTGGCCATTTTAGCTCCTTTACTTTGGGTTGTCTATGTGTCCCTTTGACATATTTTATTCTTTGGTTTCAGGAGTACATATATGATTTTTTAAGATGTTTTTCTCTTGCATAAATTACCTCTGATTTGTGAAAACTATTAATCTCTTTAATCATAAGTGTGTTCTTGCAGGTAAACTTGAAAAACCAGGTTTTCTTTTTCCATAATTATTTCAATAGTTACTACATTCTGTTTCTCAAGTTAATATTTTCTCCTCTTTTTTTAATCCACTAAGAAATCTTTCAAGTGGATTGTTAAACTTAAAAAATGATTATATACGCTTCTTAGCTGTGGAGATCAATGAAGTATATAAAAATTGTGCTCTTCGCACTGCCAGACACATACTTCTTCTAGTGGCTGCACATAAATCATGCTCTCCAAAGAATTGTGAGTGAAAATAACATCTCAAATTCAAACCTGAAGCTTCTTGCAAGCTTACGTTTTAAGGGAAAACATGTTTGCCAAATGGATTATCTTTTGAAATATATGACCTCCATATACATTTATGATTACTTGTGAATTACTTCTGACATAATGAAGAACAAAAAATTCACTAGCTTTTTATCATTACAGAAGAGTCAATAAATCAAACATTCTTGTATAATTTCACATATTTTAGTATAATCTCACATATTTCCCAAGTCTTTGTTAGCAGCAAATCTTTGTATTTTAGCTAGGGATTCTGGAGCTATTTAGCAAATACGATATGAGTTACTCTTGAAGGAGGCAGAAGGAAGAAATAATATTAGTGTAGGATTATTTTACATTTTAGTACCTTGTTTTAAATGTTACTGAAATTTCCAGTGTAAAGACTCTTTCCCAAGCTTTTCTTCTCTTTATTTATGATAAGCATAGTTCTGAACATCTGCTTAGAAATAGCTCAGCTTTTTCCTCTGACTAGTAGCAACAGGGAAGGTAGTGTCCCTTCTAGGTATCCTAGTCTGAAAGATGCTGATGAAATAGAGTTTTGCTTTGTTCATTGAGGTTGTAGAATCTAAGGCTAAGGTACCACCCAACATCATCATTGGAAATCATGAGGATTGGATATACTAGAGGATTGAGCATGGAGATTTCTGCCTCCCCTAAGAAACACTTCCATTTGGCTGTATAAATAACCTAAATAAAATAAGAAGTCTTAAATTTAGTCAACCACATTTACACAGTTTTGCCATAGGGTAGAACGATTCAATCAGGTCCAAGAAGCCTGATAACCGGGACAGGATAGTCACGGATCAGGCTCAGTGCTGCTCTGAGTTCCAGCTCTAAGTCCTGTAAGTCTTCATCTAGTACTGTAGTTTCCAACGGTTATTTTGTTCCCATAAGTGCACATAGTTTGAAAACTTAAGTTGTTCCTTTTTATCATACATATAAATATGTTAAGATTTAATTTACAGTATATTGTAAGCACTGACTTTTTAAAATAAAGCTGGGATTGTACTCATTTCAATCCAGAAAATGAAATATAAATGCCAGCACAATTTTAGTATTCCATTAAAAAATGCAAATGAAAATATCTTAAAATTCTTTTAACACTTCGTTTACTCTTCACCTTTATTCCCTCTCTTTACCTGCACATAACATTACCTTTCTAGATCTTATTATACTGTGATATGTTTGCTTTAAAGGTTTTTATATATACCACTGGAATTTGTTACTGCAAAAAATATGCATGTGTGTATCTAAATATTTTAAATATTTTTCCTTATAAAATTTTAGATGACTTAAGGCTATAAATATTAAGATGTGTCACCTGGAATGAGTTCTACTCACAAATATTGTTATTTCAAAATTTATTAAAACAGAATAAATATACTTATATGATGTAAATATTAACCCCCCCAAAATGTTATTGGAAATATATGAAACAGAAGAAATTGATTTCCCTAAAATTATCCATATTCTTAGGGCCAGGAATGATGGTGCAGCTACTTAAGAGACAGGGATAGAATCATGGTCACAGGCTGGCCCTGAGCTAAAGTGAGATCCTACCTGAAAAATAGACTGGAGGAAAAACAGTTTGGGACATGGCTGAGTGGTAAAGTACTTGCTTAGCATATATAAGTCCGAATTCAAACCCTAGTACTGAAAAAAAGAAACATATTCTTCTATTCTTTGGAGAGTTTTCATATATCAAACATATATCCTTGCAATCAAAGATATCAAGTTTCTGACAAATGTTTGTAAACTGAATGCTGTATCATTTACATACATGGCTGAAGTAATTAATTTCTAATTAATATGACTAATAATTTTAATTTAGCAATACCTTTGATTTTATTTAGAAATTTAAAACTTCAGCCATATGCTGAATGTGCACGGTGAGCTCAACTACCCCTGTTGAGACTCAGTAACATCCTCTATGAATGGATGATAAAGTCCCACTCAAAGTCTTCTGGGACAATTACGTGCTAACAGGCAAAATAAATAATAGTGAAGCACTCTAACTTTTCTCCTCTCCTGAGTTTAAATTGAAAATACAATCTCCAAAGCATTCTTATTCACTAAATTGCTAGTACTACTTGGTAGAATAGATTTCAGGAAGTTTCAAAGTTTGTGAGAATAAAATTACAAATATAGACTATTTATAAACAATGCTTTATTCATTTTAAAACAAATTTTTCCCTCCTAAACTGAAAATTTAGGATTGTATTAAATTTTAAATAAAAAAGTTTCACTTAGGAATTTATGAATATAGTTATTTAATCAAGCCATAAAAAATAGAACAAATATTTAGAAAATTAAAAATATTCATATTCAAATATGAAATTCATACATATGTACTAATATATACATAGAGAAAATATGAGTTTATTTTGAAATTTATAAATTGATTTCTAGCATATTCTACTAAATTAAAAACAGACGTATTTATTAGTGAAAACAGTACATTTGGTTCCATAGTGCCTATGGATAATTATCATATAGATAATTTACAACTGAACTAGAATTTATTTGAGGAGAAAAGGAAGACTATGAATCATTATGTGAGAATAATAGACCTGAACAAAGTCTACTTTGTAAGCCAGGCCTGTGGTCTTCCCACTCATGGTAAAGACATATCTACCTTGGAGAGCTTTCTATC